GGTGCGGGCCGCCCTGCTGGGCGCGGCGCTGGGCTGCGCGGCCGCGGCTCTGATCCCCGCGGCTGACGTGAAGGTGGAGGTGCTGCAGAAGCCGTTCCTCTGCCACAGGAGGACCAAGTGGGGGGACATGATGCTGGTTCACTACGAGGGCTACTTGGAGAGGGATGGCTCCATGTTTCACTCCACGTAAGTAGCTCGCTCCGGGGGCGGCTCGCCTTCGAGCGGGCTGGTGGGTGAGCTTCTGAGGGGAAATATATATATATCTTTATATGTATTTTAACGTGGGTGATTTCTTTTGGCAGTGCTTTTCTGAATCTGGACCCCTCACAGTGGCCCACAATCCATCTGCGAAATAGCTCCGTAAGGAGTGTTTTGTGGAGGGCGGGTGGCTTTCTATTTTATTTTTACAATTATCCCTCACTCCCAAAACGCCCAAATTTGCGGTTTACCTGTGTGCAAGGAAACAAAAGCAATGCGTGCGTGCTCATAGCACGCCCTAGATCTTGTTTGTTCCTGAATTAAAGCATCTTAAATAACGGCTGCACAAACTTGTCAGTGCGACTGTTTCCACCGCCACCTATTTCCAGAAAGTTTGGTTTGCCTTTATACTTTGACAGTTTAGGAAGCACCGACTCGCAGCGCTGTTTAAGGTGCACACCAACAGTAAAGCTTGTCTCCTTTCCCTTTGTCAGATGGAGGCTATAAATTAAATCTTATTTAGCTTTTGTTTTCTGGTTAGTCTGTAGAAAGTACAGCCGTGTGGCGTTTGTTAAAAGATGGGGATGTTAGGCATCCTCTCCCACAATGTAGACACAGGTTTTGGTATATTATCTCAAGGGTTTAGTAAGTCTTCTGCTATGCACGAATTTCTGTCTGGTTTCTAAAGCAAACTTCTAGGGGAGAAATCTGCCTGTAATTTAATTTAAAAAAAAAAAAAAGTTTTATATATCATTCCACTACGGGCAGCACAATGACAGCTTTTCATTGCTGAAACGGCATATTCTTCACCTGCCACTGACCAGGCAAATCAACATACCAGAGCCACAGTAATGCAAGTAGGAGGAAGAGCCAGAAATTCATGTGAGTCTGCAACGACTTGCTAATGTTGCCTTTCCTGTAAAACATCAACGATGTGTTAATAGTGGGAGACAGCAAAATGCTCAAGTGTCTGTAGGCTATGTCTGAAGTCTACTTTTGTGGAACGTATTTAGAATGTTTTGCATGTTTATGCTCTTGCAGATGATTTAAACTAAAATCTCACTAATTTTCTCTTGTAGTTAACCTGCCTCTCTAAAAGGAGTTCTAGTGACACTCTAAGTTTTTGCTGCTGACTAACTTCTGTAAGTGCTCTGTTTTCTTGTTAAGCACCTTTCCTGCATGACTAGTAAACTGAGCTTTTAAAAGTCTGTGTCTGTCAGTAGAGCGAAAGTAGTCCTGGAGTACCACCTGGTTAAGTTGTTAAAGGGGCTTGTCTGCCTATTTTAATGTTTTGCATGCATTTGTTACTGTTTTTCTAGACTACCTGTTGTGTAGTTGGTTTTTTTTCCTAATGGCTTTTTTGGAAGAGATGTGGTTGATTCTTCTAAGCATGTTTTGAAAGTATATTGTAATCACGACCAAGCTGGTTTTTGATTTGCAATTTGCCAAAGAGTATGCATGGCCTTGAATGTAGATTTTTAAGCAGAAATGCCTTTCTAGTCTGATCAGTTTCAAAGTGGAAATAGGTGATCAGGGAGGTGAAGGTGGGGATCCAGGTTGCTCAGTATTGTTATAGACATGCCATGTAGATATTTTGTTTGTTTCCACTTATTAAGGAACCTTGTCATGCAAGGCATCAGTTTTAAAGACTTTAAAAGTCTAGGTCTTTCATTTAAGAAATGCCAAGGTGCCAAATAGTGGTGTGGTTTTAGTTATATATCTATGCTGTGAGCATATTCCATCTATTCCACATGCCTTTTGTGGAACTTGCTGTCTAAAGACTAAGTGGTTTATTCTGTTCTTTTCCAGTCACAAGCATAACAATGGTCAACCTATGTGGTTTACACTTGGCATAAGGGAAGCTATCAAAGGCTGGGACAGAGGTTTGAAGGACATGTGTGTGGGAGAGAAGCGGAAGCTAACTATTCCACCAGCCCTTGCTTATGGAAAAGAAGGGAAAGGTAAAACACCTGGAGTCCTTCCCTTACTTTAATTGTTTTTAATCTCTGTATTTTTCTGTTTTTCTTGGCCTAAGAGGTTAGCGAGCTTTCAAGCTTTCCAGGTTGATTCCATTAAATAAGAAACGTCGATTGAGTCAGGTGCTTTTTCTCACAAATTTGTTCTCTGCAGAAATAACCATTAAGTGGTTACATGGTGAATGAAGGAAAAAACAGGAATTGATGGTAGCTGGTGTGTGGTATGTCCTGAGTGTCTTTTCTGTTAGTGCTGCGCTCAACAGTGCCCCGCTTTTTTTTTCTTTTTCCCCTTTCTCTTTACAGTCAAGCTGGAAGTGGTTGCGTAGGTTACAGTTGGCTTTTTGGCTGTTGCATCTGTGTTTGTGGTAATACTTCATGAATGTGCATGTGCAAGCCTCATTCTTACTTGCAGGTTTCTCTTAGAACCCTAATAAACCCCCTGTACTGCTACCCAACCAGTTTTTAGCTGATACAGTGAAAATTCACCATTTTTTTGTAGGGACACTTAATCCTTTCTCCCTTTTAGCTGTTTTCAGTTTGGGCAGTAGTCCCTGTTATCCATGCTAAGATATGCAAGTACATGGGTAGTCTTGTTGGTATCTACTGAAAATGTATTGAATAGTGTACAAACATTTAAAATCATTGTAGTGTTTTTTCAACCTGTTTTTTTCAACCAACTAGTGAAGTTGTTTGGGGTTTCTCCTTTCAAACACTTCCAGACTCCTATTTTAACAGGAGGGCCAGATTGAGAATTTGCAGTTAAATGAGTGACAGCTTGAATAATTTGGGAAGGTTACTTTTTCTGCCTTATGGGGTTTGTTTTAGTTGACTTTTGTAGAGCAACTATTAGGAATATTTTGTTATGACAACGGTTATCACAAATGACCTAAGATAATGCAAGGATTCAAAGCAGAATGGATAGATGTCTTGGAAAACATAATCCTTCCTGCTACTGTCCTCTCCCATTAATCTGAGACTTTTAGGAATGAAGAGTGTTTGCTTCTCCGTATCTTCTGGCAAGTAGGGCTGAACATAAGCTAAGTAATACTCCATATTACTCCATGTTAAGTAACACGCCATACAGCATACTCCATACCCTCCTTTCTTGAAAGTATCCTTTTAAAACATATTTTCCTAGAAGCCTTAGTTTGGGGTTCAAGAGATAGTATTAGAAGTACAGGAAAATTGTGGTGTTCAGTTAGTTGACTGTATGCAGGGCACAACTGTAAATTTTTCCACAAAAAGATACTAAATGCTGCAGTGCTCACATAGTCATCACAGGCCTAGTTGGCTTGATTAATATGCAAAGCACTACAGTTGTTCTTGCAAGCCTCACCTCTGTGTTTCGTGCAAGAAGGTTGAACAAGTAAACACTGCTAACTGCTGTAAGAAATTACTTGCTTTAGGAAAACTTTGAAGTATTTGAACATAATTGTGTTGCTATTTTCAAATCGTGCTGTTGAAGACAGAATTATTCCATTTTCTTCATGCTTTCCTCTGAACGTATGTCATTTCTCTAGCCTCCCACCTTGCTTACTGTCTGACTTGAATGATGAGTCAGATGCCTTTTTCTGTGACACTCAGAAAAATTACCTGTGCTCTGAACTCTAAGCATGCCGCTGTGCCCTGTATTTCCAGAAGTTTCTGCACATTTATTCATCCCAGAAATCTACAAGCCTGTCTGTTGCTGCAGCTCAGGGTGTATTTAACACCATAGCTCCAAAATAGCAGATGTAGATTAGATCTTCCCCTAGCTTCTCAAGGCACAGGAATTATTTTTTGGGGGGTGCTGCCATCCAATATAGAAATATATTTGATCCTATTCAACCTCTCTCTATATAAGGAGCAAAGTGGTGTGCTAAAAGGTTTTTGACAGTAGCGTCAGTCTTCAGCATGAAGGTATATCACATCACTGTAAAAGCTAGTACCTGATAAACTGAAACTCGAGGGGTGGTGGCATGGAGTGGGGTGGTCTTTGGCACTATTAGGAAATCATCAGTCTGTTCACCTGCATTAAAAATGGCATGATGCCAACACATGTCTTTTGAGCAGGTTTATATACTTAGTTTCCGCTGTGTGTTTGGAAATAGCTCAGCGCTTTGTGCAGCAGTCCAGAAGCAGCTGTGGGATACTGCCAACATTGCTGCCCTTCTGCCTTCCTCTGCCAGAAGAGTTTTTCCAGTGGCAGAATAGCAGGTACAAGGCATCAGTTGGCAGTGGAGAGGACTTTGGAGACTGGCAGAGTTATGGTGTATCAGGAGGACTGAACTTCCCCTTCTTGCTACTGTCTCCATCAGTCTTGGCTGTATGTTGCAGTAGTGGCCACCTGGCTGGCTGTACAGTCTCTTTCACTGTTTTCCACATTATCTGTCTCTAGCCATGAAAAAAAGATTCAGGAATGTTGTCTGATAAACCTGTGATGATGATTGCTGAATTGAGCTCATATCAACGTGTACTAGTCTCCAACAAAACTAGTTACATCTAAAGTTGCGTGTGTGCTGTAAGGGCTGCTCAGGATCCAGGCTACAGTCTGAAATAGTTATCGCTGTTATCACTGTTACAGATACTCTCCTTGTTAGTTCAAATTGTGGTATGCTTTGAAAGTAGTAGGATTACTGGAACACTGCTCTGATGCATATGGTTTTTCTATGGCACTCAATATGTAATTGTCTTTAAATTTTCTCCACATTTACCATTTTGGACAGGAAAAATTCCACCTGAGAGCACACTGATTTTCAACATTGACCTTCTAGAAATTAGGAATGGACCAAGGTCTCATGAATCATTCCAAGAGATGGATCTTAATGATGACTGGAAACTGTCCAAGCAAGAGGTGAGTTAAGTTACCATTCTCGTGAGCAAACCTAACTGGATGGGATAGTGGAAAGTGAAAGATAAGCTTAGCTTGATCCTCTTAGGGAAGTATCTAAACACAGGTTGAATTTTAGCTACTACTGTGCACAGAGCAACTCCGCAAGCAGAATACACACTAGTATTAGTCACATGGGGAAGAGTGAGTCTCTGTTCTTCCTGGAGATGACTTTCAATGTTGCTGCCTTACAATTCTGCTTTTTTTGTCTTTGGAGTGTTACGCCTTTTCATGTCAGTATCTTTCCTGCTGAATGCTCTTGAACTACTATTCCTGGCTTAACAATTAAACTCCTGTCTGTGCTTTGCCTTTCTTGCGTGGCTTCAGCTCATGTACTTTCTTACACTTTAACGATAGATATTTTTTTTCCAGTAAAACTAAGCCAAGGATGCACATCTATGCTGTACCGTGCTGAGCCTTGGCTCCCAGTAGAACTGCTGGACTCGGGGGTTCAAAAGCGGCCTCAAACTGAAGCATAGGCGTGTGCCCCATGCTTATGGGAGACTTGGATGAAGTAAAACGTCATAGAAATATAACCAGACTTCAGGGCTTTTTTGAGTTAGTTGCTGACTTACAAATAAGATGAAATTAGAAATTCTTCTGCTGTAGGACAGTCATGTGTCATAGCAATTACTGTCTGAAGGATGTGTATTCAGCATTATTCACCTTCTGTTTGCCTCATTTTCAGTCTTCTGCTTTACCGATGTGCAAAAGTTATCCATGAGAAGTTAGGATAAACCACTGAGTTTGTTTTAACTGGGGGTTGGTACAGTTTTCTAGGCCCAAAGACTAATCTTTTGTACTGTGCATCAGACAGACAGACAGTGTCAGTGTGTTCAATGTCTGTATTAGAAATGTAAGCAATGACCCTAACAAATACCAGAGTGTGAAATGGATAAAACACACCTGAAACATGGCCCATTTATCTTGCTGTTAACAGTCCACTGTTATGGTTCTTATTATACAAGTTGTATCTGTTTGACAGGTGGGTATGTTGGTATTGATACTCTTGTAGAACACTTGGGATCTCAATAGTTAAACCTTAAACTCAGTAAAAAAAAAAAAAAAATCTGATGTTGTTCAAAACACTGCTCAGCATTACCAGCTAGCTTAGCATAAATAACTGTTCTACTAGTCTGTGTAAAAGCTACCTTAAATCTTTGTCCCTCAAAACTTTGAGATGTCTAGAAATAAGTCTTTATTAATGCAGTTCCCATTGGAGCAACAAAAGCTGAGATTGTGGACGGATCTCTGTTTGGGGTGGCTGTTTACATCACTTTGTTAAAGTGCTAGGATGTATGTGAAAAAGCTGTTTGGGTCTCTGACCAATTGGTAGCTAATAACTTCTGCCTAACTATTTATACTTTGCTGTATAGACATCAGATGACAGGTTTTTCTGGCTTGTTTTTCAGTCAGATAACATAAAGATACAACAACTGATTTGCTGGTTTTACTGTTTCTTATATTACTAAAAAGAGCCTTTCATCACTGAACAGGGCTGCAGAATCAGTCAGACAAGTAGTATTCTGGCAGTAGCATAGGAAAGAAGGTATCCATTGTCTGATACCACCATGCTGAACATAGTGGCCATCTCTTACACTGCAGTAATCAATTCTTTCATAAGCCTAAAAACATTAACTCTTGCCTTTTTGTCTAATAGGTGAAAATTTACTTGAAGAAAGAATTTGAAAAGCATGGAGCAGTGGTAAACGACACCCAGCATGATGCTTTGGTTGAAGATATATTTGATAAAGAAGATGAAGACAGTGATGGGTTTATATCTGCAAGGGAATTTACATACAAGCACGATGAGCTGTAGAAAAGGGTGGCATAATTTTTTTGACACAAATGGCAATGACTTAGACTTTCTGGTTCTCTTGTTGTCTTAATTCTGTGTTTTGGAGTTGACAGCTGCTGTTGGCAAAGAAACACTTTGTTTATATAGAAGAGAATTTCTTTTCATTATGTACAAATGTTTTAAACTATTCTAAAGTATGAAAATGTACATCCTTTTATGCAGCAAACTTGCACATCAGTGTGTTTTAAATTTTGTATTAACTTATTTTTCAGAAATGAAACAAACTTTCTAGTTATCAAACATTGTGAAAATCAATCCCGTTCAGTGCCTTTCTTTGGGGTATTTTTTGTGTGTTAAGATCACTTTCAGTGACTCCTTTATGTATAACTTCTAGGCTGTGGCTTAATTACTTGACCTTCCTTCTTGTGTGTCACTGCTTAAAAAGCAGTGTGCTGACCTTGGGTTTTTTTTTGGTGCAGATTTTTTTAAAAAAAATGTGCTAGAAGGTATCAGCATCTCTTTATACAGCTGAGAAACTGATAGAAAGATAAATGAGAAGAATGGCTATCCTGTACTGATACTGCTCTTCTAAAGGGAGAGTGTTACCAACTGTGCCAATAATTGTCGGCATTTTTCTTTAAATTATGTGAACAAAGCAGAAGTTAAATGTCAGCCTTTCGCTTTTAATGTCAAAATGTTCTAGGAAATGCCTTGTAACTTGGAAAATAGCAAGTTGTGCTGCAGTGCAGAGGTGGTGTCCTTAACATATGTACATACATGCTTGTTTTGAAACTCAGAGTTTGCATTCGTGAAGAAAGATCCTTTCTCCTCTCAAGTTGAGATCTTGAGCAAAATGTTACAAGTCTGAAGTTTATCCCATTTGCAGAAGGGGAAGATCATACTGATGGGAGGATCAGTATGGCCTGAAGAACAATTTGCATTTGCTTGCCTGCTTTGCAACTGCCTGAGTTACAGAACTTGTTTCATTGCTGCCCCTTTGCAGTATTTTCACAAGTAGCACACAAGTGATGTGAAATTTAAAAAATAAAGTGACTTTTTAGAAAAATAGAGGCATGAGGTAAGTGTTACGGTGGTGTGTCTTTACAGAGGTGGAGACCATGAGGATTTTAACTCCATTTTGTGTGTGTTTGAACTCTTTCTGGAGAGAAAGAAACACTTTGCAATTGTCTGGGGTTTCTTAAATGAGAGGGCAAGGTATCTCGGGGAAGGAATTAGCCTGTATCCTGGCACCACTAACATATGGGTCTCTGAACATGGTATTTTACTTGAAAAATGTTGCTCAAGGCTGTGTACAGACACAAAGCAAATCCAGTTGTTTGAAACAGATTGCTGCATTGCACTAATCCTTAACTATTGCCGATTGAGACTCTACATTTAAGGTTCTCAATGCTGTAGATGAGCTAGATGTGTTCCCTGCCACCTAGTGTTGCAAGTTAAGTATTAGAAGACTACTTTATTAAACAGAGTTCAGCTACATGTGGCCACTACACACTTCTGCCAATAGTGACTGTTTGGGGGGGGGGGGGGGGGGGGATAAGGAGAGGGATGCTGGTAGGGTGTCTTGTGTTTTTGTGTGGTTTGTTTGTTGGTTTTTTTTTTAATTTCTTCCAGCATTTTGTGGCTGGTGGTCAGAATTCCAGATCACATAGGCCATATACTTTATTTTCAGTAACCTGTAGGTCTTTTTCCTCAATGATACCATCTAGTTTTCTTGAACCCTTTTATACTTCTGCTTCCATAATGTTCTATGGCAGTGAGTTTCACTGTAGAAGAGCGAGGAAAATGCTTCCCCTTCTTTTAGGCTTGTTGCCTGTCCTGTTTCTTGTATTGTGAAGAAATAATGAATAATCACTACCTTAATCTTACCAGTCATGATTTTGTATATTGTTGGTTTTTTTTAAAATTTTCTTTTCTCTCATCCCTTATGAAAATTAAGCTTGCCTGACTTCATCTCTCCCAAGGTTGCTTATGTGTTCTGTGCTGTGTGTCTTGATTTCCCCTACAGTCACCAGAGCACTGTGCCCTTGGTGGCAGCTCATCACATTTATGTTCTTCATGCTATATTTGGATAGATGCCGTATCAAATAGTTTCCTGTCTTTCCCCGTTGACTACATGGGGACCCTAGGCAATTAGCACAGCCTAGGCCGAGGAGGGCTAATAGGATATGAAGTTGACCCTGAAGGCAATCTTGCTTAGTATGCAGGAACTGGCAGGTACTCAACCAATGCGCTGCTGGGGAGAGGAGAACTGAGACTTGCGTTGGGTCTGACAGGGTTTTGGATGATAGTTTGCAGTGTTTAGCATGTTCTCCAAAAATCTGCCCGGGGAATGAAAGCATAAAAGCATGAAATAAAACTTAACCCAGATTACTGACCAAATGAATAAACAGTTAAGCTTAAATAGTGGGGTACCAGTGTATGCCTTCAGTAAGGGCCAACTGTTGTTACCTTTGTATTAAGCAGGAGTTAGGAGTCAGTGAATGCTGTGAAATGTACATATGCATTATCTTCTACTTGGACTTTTAAAGCATTTCATAAAAATAACTTTCAGTCAACATGTGCTGTAGTTAATTTATTAATGCCAGCACAGTATTAAAGCTGCAGGACCAAGATGCTTTATTTGCTGTCATGTGTAGGTTTGTGCCAGAGGAGAGGATTGGTTTTGTTCTTTGTCCTTTTCTTGGTAGCTACATTAAATTTCTGAAATTGAACTGAAAAAAACCTTTCGAAAGTGCAGAATCAGCAGCAGATTTGAGAAGTCACTTCAACTTTATTACTGTTTGCTCTCGTTAGTCTTGTGAAGGTGAAGGGATTTCTGAGGTAGAAATAGCACTGCCTGTCTTAACCTCAATTGCATCTGCTTGTTAATCCGCAGGGCATACTGCTGCAGTGCCAGCGGGAGCCAGCTCGCTGCCTGCAGGAAGGCAGAGGCAGGCAGCTGCCTGTCCTCCAAGGGGAGAAGGGAATATTGGAACTTCGGTGGCACTCAGCAGTGTTTTGGCTGGCTTATGTGTGAAGTGCAAGGTGTATTTCCCCTGAGGAAAACAAATCCTTGCTGCTTGTCTGTAAAATGCAACGCTTGAAAAAGTGGAGAGGGCTCAAAACAGCGTTGTGAGCACATACCAGATCGTTTCTCCTGCATCTTATAGCCTTCACATGTTTCTTGTTGTTTTGTGGTTATATAGGAAAATATGTACTGATGTTTTTTAGAACGTGTCATTCAGAAGCCTGTCATTCAGAGCCACTACCCAGCAATTGCAGTGGGAGTTGCTGCCTTGTGTAGGTACAGAAGCAGCCTTCAGAGCTCATTTTATTTGAAAATTCTTGATATGCAATGCAATGACACAAGAAAGCTTTTGGCAAAGCTTCAGGAATGGTGCTTGTAGTCTGAGATGTTTCTTAAAGCATTCTTTGAGATCAACTGACAAGGCAAACAGTGTTGAAAATGATGGAATCGCTTTATTGGGTCTTAAATGTTTTGCTTTTTCAGTACCTTATGTCCTTGTGCTGCCAGCAACATCCCCAGTATAGAGGTGTTTTGGTGAGTACTGTATATGACAGTCATAAAACTGCAGTGTTAAGTACATATTGAACAAACTGCTACCATAGGTTCTTCTTCATGACACTTTGAACGAAAATGATCCACGGGGTTTTTCCTGAGTACTTCAGTGTAAAAATAGGTGGTAGAGGTCAGCCTTTAAATTACAGTTGGCTTTGTCGTACATGCTCCCCACGCCCCGTCATTTCTGCTGTGTCCCTTGACCCAGAAATCCCAGTTTCATATGGCAGGTGAGTATCAGCAGGATGGGAGAGCTTGCTGCTGCTGCTTTGGGGCATTCTGGGGAAAGGAGGAAAGCTAGGGGAAGTGTGGTGAGAGAGAGTGGAAGTACGCAGAGCGATGTGAGAAATGCAAAAGATTTTGTTTCCTAGATCCTTTGGCATCTGCTTACTTGGCAGAAAGAACATTGGCAGCCACTGATGTAAGTACTGCAAGATATAAGGCTGGTTCCTCATCTGATTTTGACTAGAAATTGCTGCTTCAGCCAGTTTCTAGATGGACTTTTATGACAAAGTTCAAATTCACACCTCCAAGGTCCAATGAAGAATATTTAGAATAGGTAGGTTGCGTTTGACTGCTTCTTAAAAATAAATCAGCCACATTATAGAGCTTTAGCAAAAAAAACCCCACAAAACCCACCACCCCAAACCCCTTCATATATCTTCAACACTGAATTGGTTTTGGTAACAGGAAATAAAACAAAACCTGCTTATATTTGTATAATCCTGGATAATTTTAGCCTCTCTTGGAAGTTAATCATAATGCTTACATTCTGTGCCCTAGTTTTCTCCTGGTACGTAGGAAAAAACAACTGACAAAATAAGGATCTTTCTTTAGCTATCCTGCTTCTGTTTTCATCCTTGTGCTTGATTATGTCAAACAGTTTCACACAAGAAATGTAATTGAAAAGCTCAGTAGGAAGCTACGTGTCTGTCACAGGGACAAGGACCTTCGTTATCAGCTTTCCCTGCCTGGAGGGGATTCAGATGGAGCCTCCCCCTGCATCACACTTCTTCCTTCTAGGAGATTCTGTTCCAAAAGCAGGCTGGTTTCGCTAGGGGTTGCCCTGGGTTAGGAGCCTTGTGGTACTTCTGTTCTCTTGAGCGATGGGGGGGGGGGGGGGGGGGAAGTAGGAGCTTGGTTTAGCTGAGACGTTTCCCATGAAGACAGAGGGTAGTTTGAAACACGTCAGGTCAGTAATTTTGTTCAAGGTTGCTGAAGGCTGTGTTCCTGATGGAGGGCTGGAGTTTGTCCACGGGGGTAGTATTTTTTCTTTTTTCTTTTTTTTTTAGTTCTAACTGCTGTACATCTCCATTAGATAAACAAGATGCAAAGCCACTTTTAAAATATTAGGATCTGACTGCAGAAATCTAGTAGAGCCACCTCTTCAGAGCTCCCTAAAATCCCAGTTAGATGTTTTTAGAGCAAAAACATGAGGCTGATGCTAACTACCATTAAGAGCTGCTCTTCACATTAGATACAGTGCTTCTAATTTCTAGTTTGTGTCATGACCTGCTTAAGGAGATTAAATGATGCAGGATAATTGATTCCTCATCTGGGAGTCAGACTGAAAGCATTAAATCAATCCCGTCCTCTTACATTTTATTGCCTTTGAAATTTCTTTAAAGCAGATGATGTTTCCTTTTCTGCCTCTTTCTCTGGATAGAGAAATAGGTAATACCTATTTCTTCTGTGTGCTTGGCCTGCTGTCTTTCTGGGAGTAAATAGCACAATTTAGCTCTGGTCTCTCTAATCTGCTGGGATATGTCCTTAGAGAACAGGTTTTCATTCCATAAATGCAAAGCAAAAAGTTCTTAG